TTTAATCACAGAAGAAAAAGCTATGTCAGGGGAGTGATATGGTTCATTTCATTGGTTTGATTCCTAATTACTCCAAAGGGAAACTGTGGGATGATGGAGGGTGGTTGAAGGGGAGATGTAGGCATGAGAGTAGAACATAAAGAGAAAGTAATATTGAGACTTGAGACTAATCCATTAAAAAATACATCTTAAGTGCATACATAATCCCATATAATTTTCTTCTGTTGGGAATTTTTTAAAGTTTGTAAATATCTTTTACTTTTAAACATCCTTACTATCTCATTATAACAAACTACAATTTAATAACAATTCAAATTGCAAAAACGAAATCATATACTTTATGGTAAAGAAATATAAGCCAGCCCAGCCGGTGTGGCTCAGTGGTTGAGAGTCCACCAATTCAATTCCCAGTTAGGGCACATGTCCAGGGTTTCATACTCAATCCCTGGTGAGGGGCATGCAAAAGGCAGCTGTTCTATGTTTCTCTCTCATCGATGTTTCTATTTCTTTCTTCCTCTCCCTTCCTCTTCCTCTAAAAATCAGTAAAAATATATTTTTTAAAAAAAAGAAATATAAGCAGGAAATCTTGTATTGGTCCTCTCAATGCTACACTCACTATACTACTATTGACAACAGAAGACAAAGTAGGTATCTCAGCTGAAAGTACCAAAGGGCCAGTATTGATGCAGGGTATAAAAGTACTATAATAGTAACATTTTTAGCTTCAGAGTTGTTTAAAATCTTAGTTTTCTTTTTCATTTTTAGAAAATAAATTTATTTACATGCTTATATTTGCTCTTATGATTATAAATGGAGACTCTTATTTTTTATAAATGTGCTAAGATATGATTTACCATTTAATTAAACCAAGAGATTTACTAAATGCAGTTTTTACTAAATCAAAAATAACAATTAAAATGGTAATGGTTCATTCCTGGGGGTCGACAACAACAAAAAAAGACACTGTGCCCTAACCGGTTTGGCTCAGTGGATAGAGCGTCGGCCTGCAGAATGAGGGGTCCCGGGTACTTCTGGGCAAGGGCATGTACCTTGGTTGTGGGCATGTCCCAGTGGGGGGTGTGCAGGAGGCAGCTGATCGATGTTTCTCTCTCGTCGATGTTTCTGGCTCTCTATCCCTCTCCCTTCCTCTCTGTAAAAAATCAATAAAAAATATATATTTTTAAAAAGACATTGTAAAAGATACATAAAAATATTCCAGCATGTCTCATAAAACTGTTTAATTTAGAGCATTAACCCCTTAAGTATGGTAAATACCTCACTATTCTCTTACAGATATTATCATTCCTTTCAAAGAATCTATTTTTTTATTTTATCAGCATTGAGATTCTATTTACATAATGAAGAGCAATGGAGAACACACAGCTCAATCACTATCCTCAGAAACTAAATATTCTAATGATTTTAATATACACATTACTAATTTGTAGCCTATAATTTGAAGAATGTGAATGGTGAAATGTCTAAATAAAGTACCATAGACAAAAAACAACAACAAAAAACTGCTTCATATTCAAAGGCACAACGTCAATTTAGATCAGCTGGACTCACTGCTCTATATTTCAGGAGACAGAGGTTAATAAGTGATCTTGGGATCCTTGCTCTACAGATGTCTCAAGGGTCTATTTCTTTATTGAAAGTACCTCTACTTTTGACAAATATCTATGCTACTACAGAAGTGATATCTTTGCCCATATAAGACTTTACTTGAAGCTTTTTTGATACTTAAGACTGTATATATTACAATGAAAAAATTTAAGGACATGCAACATGCACAAAGGGTCAAGATATACTCCTTCCCTTCTGATGATGCACTGCACAAGAAGGTTAAGAAACTACTATCACACATTCTAAGTTTGGGACATATTTTCAAGAGATTTTAAATGAGAAATTCAACAAACCTTAAACATTAAACTTTCCATTATTTCAGATCATGAAAAGATTTTTTAACTAATTTGTAATACACAATATATATACTCCACAAACAACTATGTACAGATATATGCCATATCAATTCCCTTACTATTTTCAATAAAAATGTATGATTCACCCTGGACAGTGTTGCTCCATGGTTAGAACACTGGCACGTGCACCAAAGGGTCATGGTTTCAATTCCCACACAAGGGCTGATATCTAGGTTGCAGGTTCAATCCCCACCCAGGTCAGGGGCACATGTGGGAGGCAACTAATCAATGTGTCTCTCTTACATCAATGTTTCTCTTTCTTTCTCTCTCCCCCTCCCTCCTTTCCAGTCTCTCTAAAAAAATAAAAATAAAAATAAATGTATGTTTATTCTTGTCATAAAAATCTGATTTGGGGTATTTTAAAAGTTCAAACATATTAAGCTATGCTTTGCTTTGGCACTAGCTCCCCCTCCAGACCAACCTACTAATAAACTGCACTTTGAAAAAACTAAACAAGGAACACACGTTTTTCCAAACCACTAGCAAATTTCAAAATTCACCACTTTTAAATACATTCCAATTCCTTAAAATAAGTAGTTAAAATTTGTATCGAAACATTTCAGAATATAATCAGAATTATTTTTTCAAACCTATACATCTCAAGCAGAACTGACTTGTAGGAAAACAACTTCAAGTGACTCTTAAAATTTAAGAAGATCCTAAAGTAAATCTATGTAGTGGTATGTTTTATGGAAATTATTTGAACCACTATCCTAATAAACCACAATATATTCTTCATGTGAGATCAATACTTGATTAAAGCTACATTTTAGCATGTTTCTGCAGTCAATGCAAGTTTCATTCCAACTGTTCAGCTCTTCAAGTAGAATTCTCAATTTATAATGCAGCAAAAAGAAAATCCATGCTTCCAAACTACCCTTCTATTTTCCTTCTACTCATTTCTAACTCCCTACATTTTTAAATACTAAACTGTAAAATCACTATTCAAATGTTTGAATTCTCACCTTATTCTTACTATTGTATTTATAAATCAAGTAACCAAGGCTTTCTATACACATTTTATAGTGTATTTCACAAGGCTAGCAACTTACAGGGCCTCATTATTTTGGCATAACATTTTAGGTTGTTTTTAACTTGAAGGGAGAATACAATTTACGCCATTATTTCAGTGTAGCACTGTGGTGCTTAAATAATTTCTCTCCTAAAATGATTTCTATATGATTCACCCTTTAAAAGAATTATGCATAAAAACATAAAATTTAAGTTAAGAAAATAAAAATGCACTTAACCCCAGAACAACAAGGAAAATAAAAAACTAGTATAATGAAACCTTTCCTACAGTTTCTAAAGAGAGCCAAGCCAAAGTTCAGTCAATTACCTGTGATAAGTTTAAAATGCAGGAAGTAGATTGACACCTCTCCCTGCCTTTATCCAAGGCCTCAATCAAAAAGCTAATATGGAGACGGAGAGCTGCTCTTGCCACCACCAACATGGAGACTTTGTACTGACCCCCAGTCTTGGTGCTGGAATGACCAACCTGAAGCTGAAGAAGCCATCCTGTATGCACATGTCCTCGGCCATGACAATGTACACTCTAGTGGTAGTGTCTGACTTCCTCACACCAGAGAAATAATTTATTATGTTATCGTTGAACTGCTCAGTGTTGGCTCTATGACTGAGGAACATGGCATTAGAGACCAGTAGCTTTCTTGGCCTACAGAGTAAATGGACAATATATTATGGAAGGACTTGAATCCTGTTTACAATGGGAGGGTTAGGTTTCATAAACCTAGGCCAATCCAAATGCACCAAACATTCCAAAACTCAATAGATGTCTTCTTCTATTCACTGGATTCGCCTGTGTCTTATTGAGTTTCTTTTCACGGACAGAGTATTCGTGAGAATGCAACTGCCTGGCTATCTGATGGGTTAGAGTGCCTTTTGAGAAGAATTGTGGATAACAGATTTGTTCCTGTTAATGAAGTTTTAAAGACTCTACCAATCCTCTGATATGAAATATGGAAAAAAAATGAAAAGCAGCAGAAAACATAGGAAGCATATTAAAGCTCGGACTAGAATTATCTTCTTGGTATCAAACAAGACAAGCTTATCGGGGTTTTTTCCTGCCGACCTATACTGGCACACCATTGATGTTAAATCTCTTTCAGTTTTTAATTTTTAAAGAAAATATACTCCCATTTCTACAACTAAAATAAATAAATAAATAAGCGAGCTAATATACGGCAAAACGCTAAAAGCTCACCAGGGATGACTAACCACGACCCTGTCATTGAACTTAAGAGATGCACTGCGTCCCTGGCGTTCTGTGTTCCTAAAGATTGCAGTCCCCACTGTGAGAGAACAGGTGCTGCGACCTACCATCCATTCGCTCTCGCAGGACAAACCTCCTTTAACTAATAAAGACTCACTTCACCTCCCAAGTAAGTTTAGATACTCAAAAGCCGCCAGCTCACCATTTCCACATCAAGGGGGTGGAGGGTGCCCGGGCATCGCCCCCTGGCTGGGAGTGGGTCTGTGTGCAGGTCCCCCCGCCCCCGCGCCCCAGGTTTCTAGCCCAGGAACCCCTCTCACAAGCCCGTGAGGCACAGGCATCCTCCTCCTGGCAGTCGGTGACTACAGGGGCAGAGCTGCTGGCGAAAGGGCAGGTAGGTGTGCAGAAGAGGGACACCTCCTCCCCCGCCCCCATCTCTCCTCCTCTCCTCCGCTCCAGCCCCTGCCCGATCCAAGGATGCGCGACCCGAGGGCAGCGGCCGCCCCGCTCCGCGTCCCGGCCCGGGCGGCGGGCGCCCCTCACCCCCTGCCCGCGCCCTCCCGGCCGCGCCAAGGCACCCGCCGGAGCGTCCCGGGGGCTCGCTCCCCACTTTTCCCGGAGCGGCTGGGGAAGCAGCAGCACTTGCAGCAACAGGCCCGGGGATCGCCTGGGGAAACGGAGTCGCGACAGCCTCCAGGCACATCCCCGGAGCCTCGTCGGATCCCGCGCTTGCCCAGCCCCAGACCCCGACGCGCGCGGGGCCCGGCCCCCAGACGCCCCCTTACCCGAGGCGGGAGCAGAGGCGGTCTCCGCTGCTCCCCGGTCGCCGCCGCCACAGCCGCAGCCGCAGCTGCCCTCCGCGAGGGGAGTGGGAGAGGTGGCTGGGTGGAGGATGCTACTACCGACTGAAGGGAGAGGAAGAAACGGAAACAGGAACCACCGCCGCCGCTTAACGGAGCCTCCGGCGCCAGTGACTGAGGGAGAGCGCGAGGCGGCGCGAGCTGGACAGTCGCTGACAGCGCGAGACCGAGCGCGAGCCGGGTCTCGGGCGCGCGACCCCGAGCAGCGCCGGCCCCATTCCGCGGGGAGAGGAAGGAGACAGGCTGCCCGGGGGCTGGGAGGGGGCGGCGAGGGGCGGGGGCCTGGAGCGGAGGGAACCCGACCACTCCGGTCGGCCGGCGATAACGCGCGCACGCGCCGGAGCGGCTCTGACAACGAGAGCGGGCGGGGAAACCCAGGATAGCGCAAGCGTGAGCGCGCGGAAGGGGGCGCGCGCCCCTCGGCGTTCCCGGCCCGTGGGAGAGGGCGCGCATGCGCCGGCGCCTGCCACCTACGGCGACCCAGGCATGTGCCAGGGCTTCTCCCCGCCCCCTCTTGGCTGCGCCCTTGGATCGCTCACCGCAGCATCCTGGGGCAGGAGCGCCCCGGGCCACAGCGGGACCGGGGGAGCTCCAGCAGTGCAGCCGCTGCGCGCGCGGGCGCCGGCTCCAACGCGAGCGTAGGCCGCCCTCTACCGCTGGAAGGCCGGAGGCTGAGGGGGGCGCGAGACCAGCCGGGAGCGCCACCTCCAGGGAATCCCGCATTTTCGACCGCTGGGGCGGGACTGGCCCGCGCCAGTTCAGCCGCGGCCCCAAGGAGCACCTGGTACTGGAGATTGGGAGCAGGCTCTCTGCCACTTGTGAGGGATGATCGCCGCTGCCCGGCTGCAGCTTGCAACGCGAACATAGACTGGCACGCACCCACAACCGACTGGCGAAGCCCTACTTTCTCGTGTGAGCTGTTTCCACACTCGCCGGGTGTAAAGATCCCCCGCGAGGGCCTGAATTCGATGTCTGGCCTCTCCCTCGACCCGCGGCTGCGACAGCCCCTCAATGAGGCGGAAGTTTATTCAGTACGGGAAAGAGAACACGGAACGAAGGGGTGGGGGCTTTTCCTCAGGATGCTTCCTACCCGCTCGGACTCGGGAAATTCCTGCCGCCCGCGATGCAGAGCAGTGGGCCGAAGAGCTAGTTCACACCAGCCCAGACGGCGAGCTGAGACCCAGGACCTGAGCGCGCTGGCGGGGCACACAAAGTAGTAGCGAGCCGAGGCGGGGGGCACGGTGGCCAATCAGAACCGCGAGCTGCGTGAGTGGAGTGCGAGCCGACCAATCAGAAGGCGGGAAGATGAGCTTCCTTTACCGAACTCTTCCCGGTGCCTCCGGACCCAGATCCCAAGCCTGAGGTGCAGTGCTGCGGAAAAGCGAAATGATACCCTAAAACACAGAAGAATTCTTCCTCTAGACGTGGGTGTTTTGAAGTAAATGCCTTGGGTACAGATCCTAGAGCAAATAGCGGCGGCCTTTTAGATGCTGAGTGTGAAAAGGGTCGCAGAGAAGAGATTTAAGAGGCAGTGGACTGCCAAGACTGTTACCTGCCTCATAACGTTCATAAACATACAGTATTTACGGAGTCATTTTTAAAGGCCAGGAACTGTACTCCCAAAACACAAATAAGATACTGCTGATTCAAAGGAGGAAAAAGTTCCCTATCCCTCCATAAACTTAGCTTCTGAGGGAGGTTTGTGAGACCTTGTGACTCCAGTATTTATTGGCAGCCCTTTAAAAATAAAAGCTCTCCACGAAGTAGTTTACAGTTATTTTTATCATGAGCTCCCCGTAAGAAGGGAAAATTAAGACAAAAGTAGAGTGACTAGTCTAAGGTCAAAAAATACACTGGCAGAGCCCGAATTGTGTCCCAGCTCAGCTTAGTCATCGTTCAACAATCATTTACTGAATGTGTGGTTGCTCTCCTCCACTGAAGCCGTCTAGGCACTGAGCTTGTTCTAGTAAACAGAGCAAAAATACGCTAGAAGGGTAGCAGGCTATGGTGGTTGGAAAGGAACAGAAATTTTAGGCTTATGCCATAGCAAGATGGATTAAAGGCCAAAGTCTTATCAGTTGTACTCTAGATAATTTTTAGAAGTCAGAAGTGAGGCAGATACTCACTTTTTAGTTTAACAGCATTTTTTTTGAAGTATTTTAGCAAGCATGTTTAAAGCTTACCTTGTACAGTACTTCAAGATTTCCAAGTTCAAAGCTTTACATTTGCCTGAAAACATCGATTTTTTTTTTTAATCTGGCCTTCATTTTTTTCTTTCCAGAGACCTAGGGATTAAAATAATTATCTTCTCAAACTCCTGCTCAAAAAGAAAAAAAAAAAAAAGAAATATCTTCCCATGGGATGTTTGTTCAAGATTTAGTGCATTTTTAGAGTGCAGTATAATATATATTAAAATACCAAATAACTAGTGTCTCTAGCATATATTCAGAAACTAGACCTTAGGCGATTTCAGTTCTGCTCTGTTGAGTTAATGTGCTTCTCAGCCTGTGACAGAACACTTATCAAAGCCCTTTTCAGGACATGCCTAGGATTTAGCTACCACCTCAGAACTGGAAGCATTAGTTAAATAACTGACTTCTGAGAACAAACTACACATTAAGTCCCAGGCCAACAATGAATTTACAAAAAATTCACAACAGTCCCTGCTTTTAAAAAACACATTTCTCTTACTGTCTCCAGAGAGGAATGTTACTAACACTCTGCCTTTCTCTTAACAGGTTAAATTTCTGACAGAAAGTATCCCCACAGGTTCTATCCACATCACTGGCCACCAGAACGCATCTCTGTTAAAGTATGTTTTCTCACAAGCTTCGGTCTCTTTGTTGCTGGGCCCTCTCACTCTCTCTTCTCACCCCAGCTGTCTGTCTGTGCCTCACATCACTCCTAGTTTCAGGTGTTTGCTTAAGAAAGTAGAATGGTTCCACCACTTCCTCCACCACCACCCGCTCAGCAACTAGGCTTGAGACCTATTTTTGCTGATGCAAAAACTTATAAAGTTCTGCTCAGCGAAACACTGTAAAGAATATTCTTTATGACATTATACTGAGAGCTAATAGAAACTTCTAAATACATCGTATTCTTTTACGCAGCCTGCATCAAATTCTTAGTCACCAACCAGAGCTGTGCGGGTCTTGCGGGTGGAACAAGAAGGGGTCAACCATTAGACAAGGGAAAATATCAAAATGAAAGGGAGTACCTGAGTAGCCATTTTATTGAGATCAAAATTAATGAACACTACCACATTTCCAAAGTTGTGAACACCCAAAGGACAGCACTGTTACTGCTACATACAAGAAGGTGTGAACTTGAGAAAATTATTTTACCCATTTGGCTCTTAGTTTTCTCATCTGTAAAATGAAGGGGTTGGACTAGATAAATTTTAGTTGTTTGCCAGTCCTAAACTATAGATCTAGCTAGCTTGACAGTAACTAACAATGAAGTATGGAAAAACAGCCTATATTTTCAAATTCAATAAATGTTTTAAGCCACTTTTGAGCCATCTCCTTAAGTTGAAATTGTCTATCTACACCGGTGGTTCTCAACCTTGGCTGCATGTTAGAATCACCTGGGAATCTTTTTAAAATCCTGATTTCTGGGCCTCATCTTGCAGAAATTCTGTTTCTTTGTTACTAATGTTGTGGCCCCACCCCATAACAAAGAAACAGAATTTCTGGAAGATGAGGCCCAGAAACCAGGATTTTAAAAAGATTCCCAGGTGATTCTAATGTGCATCCAAGGTTGAGAACCACTGATCTACACCAAGCATGTCAAACTCAAAGGCTAACACGGGCCTAATAAACAAGGTTTAAGTTTATGTGGGCCACAAAAAAACAACAGCTTCAATTTTCATAGAAACATAGGTTTATTTTGATAGAGACATGCTGAATACAAAGGGCTGAAATGAGTAATTGTTAACATAAAATAATATAACATTTTAATAAAAATTAATATTTTTTCTTGAATATTAACTTACCAGACACTGAATCACTGCACAAATTAAGAAGCATAATGCAAATAAACCTATTTTTCTTGTTCTCCAAAAGCGAAATATTCCCTGTTGCGCACACCAAACAAGTCCGTACAAGACTAATGACCTGGCAATTGGCTGCTAAAATATCCACGGCTAGTATTAGTGGAGAGAAATGGTGCGCCTGCACATAAGGCATGTAATGGAAATGAATGCAACATGGTTATAATAATCAGTCATTAGCGAAAGTTGTAGTTCGTTATTAATAATTACATATAAGAGGATATTGTAAAAATTAAGTTATGAAATTTTTATTAAAACATTTCTTACGTACCGTTATATTGGCTGGGCCGCAAAAATATTCATCGTGGGCCGCATGTGGCCCACGGGCTGAGAGTTTGACATGCTTGATCTACACCCATTCATTAAACAGCCAGAACCAATCATTCCAATCAGAAGAATAAATGATTGATTTAGAGCAGTGGTTCTCAACCTTCCTAATGCCGCGACCCTTTAATACAGTTCCTCATGTTGTGGTGACCCCCAACCATAAAATTATTTTCGTTGCTACTTCATAACTGTAATTTTGCTACTGTTATGAATCGTAATGTAAATGTCTGATATGCAGGATGTATTTTCATTGTTACAAATTGAACATAATTAAAGCATAGTGATTAATCACAAAAACAATATGTAATTATATATGTGTTTTCCGGTGGTCTTAGGCGACCCCTGTGAAAGGGTTGTTCGACCCCCAAAGGGGTCTCGACCCACAGGTTAAGAACCTCTGATTTAGAAGCTGATGAAACTAGACAAACTATCCCTCCCTGTACCTTGCCTCCATGGCTGAAATGTCTCTCTTCTCCTTTGGGATCAAGTATCATATAGTTCACACTATTGATTTCTTATTCAACATCCACTCCTAAATTTTCCTTATTGAGTTGCTTGTTTTGTTTTTGTTTGTTTTTTAGGTAACTATCCAACCTCCAGCTACAAAAGGGCAACTCAATTAGCCTGAGTCAATCAGTAAATGAATTCCCTGGTCTGATAGAGACTTGTAATGCTTACCCTGTCACATGTCACATTCTCACATGTACATCCCTGCCACCCCTCCCCACTTGTTCTTGGCTGGGCCATGTAACTAGTTATAGTCACTAATCAGTAGTGGGTTGTGGGTAGAGGCGATATGTGTTACTTCCAGGTAGAACATTTAATTGCAAGTGTAAGTTCTTACAGTGTTTACTCTGCCACAGCCTCAAGACCTGTATTGTTGAAGATGATAAGCTTTTGTCAGCCTAGGTCCCCAAGAAAGGATAATGTAGAATAGCCCACCTCTCACTCTCATCAAGTCAGGATGATTGGTTTGAGTAATAAATACATCTTTGTTATTTAAGGATTTTTTTTTCTTTTCCTTTTTTTTTCTTTTT